ATTGAGTTTTCACATTTAATGTACGAAAGTTAATCAATCGAAGTATCCCGTTTTAACAAAGTACACATTATCAATTTATATCTTCACGCGAACCTCGATAAATTGATGATACGGAGACACGCTATCTCTTAAGCTTAATTTTAAATAAAATCATAGCAATTTTTCGAAAGTTACTCCAGAAATATTAGAAAATATTTAAAACCAGTTACGTTGCCCCTAAAATCCGATTCACTGACGAAAGTAATTTAAGTTACGAGGTGCCAATGTCACAATTTCCCTTTCGCACCCGTATATAAAGCGTTACTAACAACGATTTCGAGACTGCCGCTTGCGTAACTTTTCAATTGGACTAAGTCACCAGTACGAGCGTATGGAGACATTTTGGTTAAGGGAAGCAAAAAAGATCAATTTTTCCAAAGGTTTACACAAACAAAAACACAAGTATCAATTTTTAACCCGGCAAACTCCACGTGGCCAGCTTGTTGGCCAGGTGCGAACTCGCCACCGAATATCAGTGTTATGTAGTTTATCCATTTGCCTCTGGGGGGTACCAAAAACGAAACGAATTGGCTGCCGATTTACTTGAATTCTTTAAGAAAACTGCGTAATTCGAATAACGAAAATCATTATTACGTCAAAAAAAACTAAACGTAATAATATTTTGCCACATTATTACGTTTAGTTTTTTTTGTTTTGTTTCCATATTGTTACGTTTAATTTATTACGTCAAAATTTGTTACATTTTCTGACGTAATCATGATTTTTGTCATTCGAATTACGCAGTTTTCTTAAAGAATTCAAGTAAATCGGCAGCCAATTCGCGTCCCCCATTTCATTCTTTGACGTAACGATTAACTTTTGAATTAATAAAATGTTATTAATTACAAAAGTTATGAAACTTTATGATTTTGCCACCCGTCGAAACATTTCAAAAATCATTATGACGACAAAGAATGAAACGTCGAAAATAAAATATATCGCCGAATTAAAAGCCCGAGTTCATAGGAATGCCTTTTCACGCGAGCTCGAAATTCTTAGTTCCATTTCCGGTTTGACGACATAATTAAAATTAATTTTTTAACTGTTTTCCTCCTCTAAACTATTTGTTATTATTTTTATAAACGTCAGGTTAATGGCGTAATTGAATTACTTTTGGTTTCATTTCCCATGCGTCACCTTTCCTATCACGTGAAAGACACCGGACGATTGGTCGCGTCGATCACGTGGACAACAGGAAAGTCGTTGGCACGCCGCACGGATGAAGGAAATCACGTGATCAAATCGCAGGTTACACATGGCTTTCGGAAACCGGAACTGATCACTTTATCATGAATTTTCCTTTCGTCTACGAATCGGAAGGAGAATTATCATTGAAATATAGCTCTTGTCTCGTTACAGGCATAATTAAATTACTTTCCGACGGTGCCACTTCGAACTTATTGTTACGCTGAGTAATACAATCAGGCATTTTTTCCCCTCTTTCTACTGCCGACGTCACGTGTGACGGGATGGAGTCGACTCGTCTAGTCAATCGTTACGTCATACTGGCAGTAGTTCAAGACGAAGGGTAAAAATTACGTAACGATTTCTAATAGAGACAAAAAAATTAATTCGCGTGTCTTCTTATCGTTTAAATTTTTAAAGTTAAAAAATTTGTTTCTCTACGTATGTGGCGATCGAATTACGCTGCAACGCTTTTAATGTTAGCAAGAATTAATGTTTCTGTAAAACCTTTCGAATCAATTATACAGAAAGCTAAAATAAACAAATGAAAAGCTTCTATTGGTTCGTTTTTATACGTTTTGGAAAGGACGACCAATAGAAGCTCTCTATTCATTAGTTATAAAATTAATTTAAACTAAATACGATAAACGAGAATTGTTAATACATTCAAATCTCGTGTCTCATCAAAAATTATTCATTTATTTTCTAATTGAATGGAATAAATTTTTTCGCTTTCAAAATTAGAAAAACAAACAAATGGAAACGATTTAATCCATTACTTTAACAAAAGACGAATGTCAAATCTTGTTTATCGTCTACAATAATTGGATTTTTTCCAGTCGCAACTGCTTTTATACTGTCTCTTATCGAATTTTTCATGCGAAACATATCCTAACGCCCACCAGTCGAAAATACGACAAATCAACAAAAAAAATTAAATCGAGTTAATTCGGGGATTTTTTCAGATGTTTTATATAAAAACCTCTGTCATATTATTTAGTAATTCGAATTCCGGTAAAATTTTTAAACGTTTTTCAACCGTAAATCAATAAATCGTCGCTAATTGCAACGACACCGCCGATAGTGGCGACGTTGAGTGGAAGCATATAAAAGCGTCGGGGAATCGTTACCTAGTGTATTCGCTTCGGCGGTACATATACTAAAATTGGAACGATACAGAGAAGATTAGCATGGCCCCTGCGCAAGGATGACACGCAAAATCGTGAAGCGTTCCATATTTTTTTTTACTCTAATACTCAAAAATATTAAATACTTGTATGACGTCGACATAGATACGTAATTAACGTAAAGATACTCGTTAATATTATCGTGACATAAAGGTTAAACACGGAAAATCTCGTAACGATTAAAAGTACACCGCGCCCAGTGTTAATAAGGAACAAAATTATTTAATTTTTTGGGAGATTTAACTCTGAATGTATCTTATTGTCGACGATTGACGTCAACATTGGGATACACGTGACAGAACTCGAATTCTTTAAAGTTTGATGAACCTCTTTGTTGTAGTTAATAAGGCATAAAGGTATTAAGTACTCGTACACAGGGCTTAACGGCGTAATGCTTTGCTTTAAATAATAATATACTATTTATAAAATACGTAACGAGGAGTTTCGTATTCATATCCGACACTCCTTATTTATTTACGAAGCTCCTACAAAAGAATTTTTTTTTTCGTTATTTAAACGCGCATTAACTAGGCCCTTCCTCGTTTTTATTTACTGTTTTTGATCGGGTTCATTAAACTCTTCACCAGCAATTTCGTATACGAAATATAGGTTTCTAATTACATCAACCAGTCGTAAAAATAATGCTTAGATAAAAGGGCGAGTACCGAGATAAGGATCCTTCACCCATAAACACAATTAGTGCAATTTCGTAATTTCTGCACGTGCCTCTAATTTGTTCGGACAAAAATTATGCAAGTACTTACGGGGCAATCTCTCGTCTGAATTACTTCGAACGAGAGATTTTTCTACCCGAAATTAAGCTTTTCTTACGCTTCCGCCCTTTCGGAAACGACACATTCACTAGTATTGTCGAGTCATTATCATAGAATTAAACTTCATTTCCCTAATCATCATAAAACTTGTAGATTGCTTCAGGCCTGGAGCACCGATTACAATTTATCACGGGTTCTGTCATTAATTACAATTGGATGTTTAGGCAGCCAGACAGATGTTTGAGAATATCGTGTGGCTCGATACCACTGATAAGTTTAATATTCTAGAAAAGACTTTTCGTGTCCACTTTATAAAATTTTCCATTTGAGCCATGGAAAAATACAGCAATTTCTCAACGAAACAAATCCGCCGCGTTATTATTTTTCTTCCACATCTTGCGTTTTTTTTGAAGGTCGTCCAGTATATTTATAGAAACAGAATATAGATAAAATGCAATTTCGCTGTTACCGTAACGGTTAAAACAATAATTTTGTTTTGTGTAGAATTTAAATTATTCGCGAGAAAAATTTGAATACTTCCGAAACGAAATTTCGCATTTCGCTCTGGAATTTGAAATATGTCGACAATGGTTTTGTAAATAGGGGTTATGAAATTTAACTGATAAAACTGAATTAGTTAATAAACTGAGACCTAAAGTGTTTAAGTCACAAAATCTCGCCTTTATAGTACTAAAAATAAATGCCGTCCCTCGCTTTAACGCATCAAACACATTAAGGTATTTAATTAAAAAAATATATCCGAACTTCTGAGGAAAGCTTTTCTTGTATTTACATTTGTTTGGATAAAATATTAAATTTCAAAGTTTAAACAAGAACATTCGTTAACCTGTCTTGCACACTCAAGCCTTACAAGTAGCCAGGAAATAGCCTTTGTGTCCCAATTGTTATAGCAGAATTTAAGGTTTCTTTGTAAACTTTGAAAATTTCAACAAGAGAAAAGGGGAAAAAAAAAGAGTATTATTAACCCAATTCTTTAAATCTCGTGTAAACCGAGAAGTCATCGAAAAATTTAATCCTTGGCCCGATTTTGAGGACAAGGCTTTTAAATCTTAAATTAAATTATAAAATATTTAAATGTGTTAGACCTTAAAAGATTTAGATCAGAAGTTCTTAAGATTCGAAAGACTTCGGGATCTTAAGGACTTCTGTAACGTTTCTAGATAAACCAATCGATCGTAGACTATATTGATTTCCTAGTATTTTTGAATAAACAATTAAGAATCTCCTATAATAAAGTTTCTTAAAGTTATTACCTGCAATTAAATGCATATAGCACATAATTCTAACATTTAAAGTACTCATATATTCAAGAGCATTGTTGCTTATCAGACAGACCATTTATTACCGGCTCCATTCAACCGGTGCATACTGGTACCATAATATTGGAGTATGCATTTCCAGGAAGACACGAAAATCAATAAGAAACTGCTATTGTATCGATCTATAGTCAATAACAGGCACGCGACCTTGAACTGGATGAAACTTCTGGAAAGACTAGACGAGACCAAATAGCCTATACACTACAATTCGAGATGTAATTTTGACATTCAGCAATTTAGAAATGTTTAATCGAAGGGTGTGAAGACAATTTGGATAAATTCTTATCTACTCTAGGATGTTTTCGGCGTGGAAAAAATAAAAATAAAATTTACTAAGTCATCAAGAGATGGGGTGATTTCGAATCGGTGGCAGTAAAAATGTACAAGGTGTACATTTTCTTTTGTTTATTTTATTTTTAATTAAACTGAGTTTTCAGAAAAATCGCTTGAGACGTCTAAATAAGTTTCATCTCATGATTCTTTCCGGGGCTGGGAAATACAATTTGTTTCGTCTCCTCCCCTCTATAATAGTATCCAGGTGATATTTCCAGATGAAATGACAAGCAATGTCTCTGTCGAGGGGGGTAAGAGCAACCGGGGCGTCGACCGTTGCTAAGCGACATCCCGACCAATGAAACGGCGTTTCTAACCTCATGATGGAAAATTCCAGTTCTGGAAACTTCTCTATTAAAGCATTACAGCCTTCATATAGCCTATATATAAGGGAGAAGCGGATAGAAGACAGTATTATCCATTAGCTGACCCGATACCTGCGATAAGAAAACGAGTATTATTTCTCTCCAAATCATTACAAGGTGAGTAATCTATACTCTGGAGTTGGGTGCGTTTCTGCATTGCAGTTTTCCTGTACATCACTCTTTTCTGCAGTGTGATGTCATTATTTTGGATTCGTTTCATTTGTTCTGTTTTGTTATAGACGTTGGCCAAGATGGTTCGAGTTAAGGTACAGAGTCCCAATGTACGCTACACTAGCGACTATATTGAGGCCGATTATGCTTATCATACCTCCGATGTCAAGGTAGACAATGGAGAATATAAAGTAAGTAAACGGACTTTTAACGCGTTTGATTATCCTCTTTTAGATTAAATATATATTCATTTATTTATATTATAGATTTCTCCACGTACTACTGAAGTTACGTTTCGTACCCAGAGAAAAGTGCCTAGATTAGGTCTGATGATGGTGGGATTAGGCGGTAATAACGGCACTACGGTGACAGCCGCAATTTTGGCAAATAAGATGAAACTTTCTTGGCACACTAAAGAAGGAGTAGTGGTAAGTCACACACTTCCTCATTCCGTTCCGTTCGTTTCTAAGACAAGGTTTCTCAACTCTGATCTTTACAGAAAGCCAACTATTTCGGTTCCTTAACCCAGGCATCGACAGTGTGCTTGGGATCGTCGCCAGATGGCGACGTTTACGTTCCTATGAAGGACCTGCTTCCCATGGTCGACCCCAACGACATCGTCGTCGACGGGTGGGATATTTCGTCCATGAACTTGGCCGACGCCACGGAGCGCGCCAGAGTTCTGGACTACAACCTTCAGGTTCAGCTGAAAGAGCACTTGAAGAAAATGGTCCCACGCCCGGCCATCTACCATAAAGACTTCATCGCCGCCAATCAGGAGAGCAGGGCCGACAACGTGTTGACAGGCAGCAAGTGGGAACAAGTGTGTGCCGTCAGGCGCGACATTCGAGACTTCAAAGAGAAGCGTGGTCTGGACAAGGTGATAGTGTTGTGGACGGCCAACACTGAGCGATTCTGTGACGTCCGCCCGGGTCTGAACGACACCGCCGACAATTTGCTGGCCTCTATCAAGAACGAGGCATCGGAAATATCGCCCTCCACCCTCTATGCCGTGGCCAGCATATTAGAAGGGGTAAGTGTTCCGTCGATTACTCATTTCCGTTTCCGTAGCTTCCGACGAATAACCGACGATTTTGCGTATTTGTAGTGTGCCTACATCAATGGATCTCCTCAGAACACTTTTGTTCCCGGGTGCGTGGAGTTGGCCGAGAAGCATTCGGTGTTTATCGGCGGCAACGACTTCAAATCTGGCCAGACCAAGTTCAAATCCGTCATCGTCGACTTCTTGGTCAGCGCGGGCATCAAGCCCGTCTCCATCGTCAGTTACAATCATCTGGGCAATAACGACGGCAAGAATCTGTCAGCCCCCCAACAGTTCCGTTCTAAGGAAGTGTCCAAGAGCAACGTGGTCGACGACATGATCGAGTCCAACAGGATCCTTTACGAACCCGGAGAGAAACCCGACCACTGTGTAAGTCTTCTGTTTCGTGTCTATATAAATTTCGACTCGTCGCCAAAGTTAGATAAACAGTTTTAAAATACTTTAAAATATTTACAGGTGGTGATCAAATACGTGCCGTACGTGGGCGATAGCAAGAGGGCCCTGGACGAGTACACGTCAGAAATCATGATGGGAGGTCACAACACCATCGTGGTGCACAACACTTGCGAAGATTCGTTGCTGGCTAGTCCAATCATCCTAGATCTGGTCATCCTGACCGAAATATGCCAAAGAATAAGCTTCAGGGTAGGAGACGATCAGAAATTTGAGAGTTTCAATAGTGTATTGTCTATCCTTAGTTACCTATGCAAGGCTCCTATGGTTCCTAAAGGCGCACCGATCGTCAATGCCCTATTTAAGCAGCGGGCCTGCATAGAGAATATTTTCAGAGCCTGCATCGGACTTCCTCCTCTGAATCACATGGAGCTGGAGCATAAAGTTTGCCATCCCGAAAAATGGCAGGCAAAGAACGTGGACCCCATAAAGAAAGACGAAAACATTCCACTATATACAAAATTGCAGGATGTCGAATGCATTAACGAACTGCTTAGAACAGATAGAATTAACGGAGTTCTTAATGGTTACCATTAATGATATCGTTTTAGATATAACTGTACATAGATCACTTCATTTATGTATTTAGATTTATTATTGTTATTATTAATATTATTATTATTAAACATGTTGCATGTTTTATCTCGTATTATAATCGTGTAATTTTATAAAATAGAAAATAAAAGTTTATTTTTTAAAATATTATATTTGTCTCCTGTAGTGATTAAAAAATGGACTAATACGAATTAATCCTAAATCTCTATCAATTAATACAAAATTCTACCCTCAAACTACTATTCTTAATATTAACTTACTACGAATGCATTTATATAGATTCATTCTGTTTTAATAGGAAAAAAGTGTGTATATCTAGGCAGGCTTTAACGGCTTTTCTATGACGGCTTAAATCTCGTGGATTTCTGTGCGACGTGTATAGGTCTACACCTACAGTATAATACATGGTAACAATGTAAATATTATTCCGGAAATGCAGCCTACTTGTAATCAGATACAGCACAACATTAATGTGCGTGGAAACACAAATTTATAACAGTTTACAGCTCTCAAGAATTTAGATTTTGCTGATTTATTTTTCTTCTCATCTGTAGACATTGACAAACAAATTTGATACACGCTACTGATAATATCCGGCTTGTGTTTAATGCAATTAGGATATATTTTTCGGGTGAGTAACGATACAATTTTGTTTCGATTCGTTTGTACTGGATTGCGTTTTGTTCTCGTTATAGTCGATAGGAGTAAGTATAAAATTGCCCTAGAGAACGACTAAGATGGACACATAGCCTTTATTAGTTACTGAGGATATGTATTTTGGATATGTCTCCTCTAAATTCTACACTAATCTGGATACACTATGAATTTTTACTAAAATATTGTTTAAAAATTTCTAAAGTTACAATGAACATAAAATTATCCTGATAACAGAAATTACATGTATACTATAGAAAACTGAACCCAAAAAAATAAAAAATAAAAAAATAGGAAAAAATTTCCTGAGTGCGTATATTATACGTATGTACCGGTACACTGCTGCCCATTAAAATTGCTACACCACGCATTGCATGAAAAGTATAACATGCTGAATGGTCTGAACCTCATGATTACCTGTCAATTTAATCGTGTCTTCCTCCTATTAATTTAACTGTGTACAATAAACATGATTCTGCTATTTGCTTTCCTTCCTAGTTATGTTGCCGTGTATTTCGTTTAACTTAACTTAATATGTGAGAATGGGGTAAAGATTAGGAAACGAAATTTGGCCCCATAACTTGTATATAAAGGACATTGATGCTATTAAACTTTGGAGTAGGAAACTGAAGGGCGTGGGATGTCACGTGTCGTATCTCGTGTGGTGTCGGATATAATAAAAATTTTACTCATTGGCATCTGCGTTATTTTTAAAGCTTTTTATTAACTTACTCCGTCTGTCAGTCTGACCATCTGTCCAGGTAAGAAGCTGCAATTCATCAAGTTCCTAACATATATATATATAACTCTCAAAATTAAGCCATTTTGCCTTTTTATAGTAATTAATAAATATAAACGTTATTGTTAATAAATCTCGTAACAGATGGCGACAATTTTAAGTTTGAGCTGGTGTCGTAGCGTCTTTTTAAACGATGATATTTATCATAATTTAACCAACCCACTCATTTTTAAGCTCTTACTACTACTACTAAAATTTTATATCCTAGTTAAAATTCAAAAATTATTGGACTTCATAATGGTCCCTCCATTTCCCGTTCGAATGCCGAGAAAGTCGGGCAACAGCTCATGTGGGCTTTTATTTTTATAACATTAATACTGAAGCTTGATATTTAATGCTCTCTTCTATTCACGGGCATTTAGTATTTCATATTCAGTGTATTTTAACAGATAATAACGTATTTAATTGCTCGTATATTGTTACTAACTTAACTGGAAGTACAGTACTGTACAATGGAAGTACAAATACTCTTAACTGTGTTTAATGACTAGAAATGATACAAAATATTTAATGCTTTGTAATTATTGACCAGTGATTATTATTTAAACAAACAATTATGTTATTATAGTTTGGCATACTGTACCTTTTAATAGCAATTTTAACTTAGTATTTTAATAAACTTACCTATTTATGAATATTCTGCGTTTAATATTTGCCACCGTTGAAACACTTGGATAATTATTCCTCCAATGCTCTAAAGAACCGCACCTCTTGTATAATCACACAAACTTCTCGACACCTTTACTCTGTAAAGTCATTTATTAATACATATTATACATTAATTGATATTTTACATTAAATAATGTGTATTGCACTTTTAAGTTTATCGAAATAGGTATTGTTTAGGGTCAAAGAATGAATTACTTCACTTTCTGTTATTTCTTATGAGAAAAATTGCTTCGGACTTCGAACGACTTCCTGGAACGAATTAAGTTCGAAGTACGAGACACTCACTATATTTGATTTCCTTAACTATAAAAGTGTTTTGATAAATTAATATTCAGGAAGAGAAAAATAGTCGAAAAATAAAAGCTTCTTATAATGACTAAAGTTGAAACTTACATAAATACAGTTGTCCCTCTATAGTCCGACGTTTTTTAATCCGACATGCTCAGTAGTCCGACGCACCTCCCGTGAAGGTACCCGTCCTTGTTACGTGTCTGCTTGCACAGAAGCATGTCGCGATGTGAATCTCCCCAGCCAATTTTTACACGATGACACACATTTCGTGTGTTTTATGTGAGCAGTTCTGTTCGAACAGTTGGAGTAGAGAATATTGTAAGTTACTGCTAGCAAAACAATGCGAAATATGTAATTATTTTCGGTAATCCGGACACTTTTGGTAATCTGACACACCTTTGGTCCCATACCTGTCGGATTATCAAGGGACAACTGTAATTGGAATGAATTGTAGGATGAGGCAACGCAACACACGAGTGATCTGCCATGAGGTATCTTTGCGAAGATTTCCATGGAAACTGGCCTCTATTCAGCATTAAGCAAATGAAGGATCATTTGCATAATGCTGTGACCAAGTGTTTAGTAGTTTTATCCATTCTGCCAGCGTGGGCTTACATAAACAATCCCTTCTATCCTCCATGCATATCAATTTGAATATACTATCACTGATATTAGTGCATTATAAATTACTTGCTTACTGTTCTATATTTAAAATACAGTAATTGTGATTATGCTCACTTGGAATAATAAATGTATTGTTCCATTCTAACCTTATTTGAAAGAGATGAATGAATGAAATTTTAAATTATAATTAACTATTGGTCTTGGAAGATTGAAACTAGAGAAAATCAGTAAGCATGCAGAGTTATTAGTGTTTTGTATCTTAAATTGATACAAAACACTAATAATTTAATGTTAAACAGTACTGTAGTACTGTATAATTTTTCAATTTGATATTTGAAAAATGTGTGCAGATTTATTTTTTACAAAGTACATTATAGGCAATGCTCAAAGGTAAAAATTTGCTCCACGACAAGAAAAAATGCTGATAAAACTAAAACATAAGAAAAAAGCAAACTATTAAAATTAACAATGAGCTAAAATACACAGTGCTTTTTCACATATATTTATATGTACAAAGATGAAGGAAAAGTAGGACTTCAACATTTAAAATTAGAACTGTTTTTATTACTTAAATTTGGAAATTTACAAATGAATTGATAGAATTATTTCATTTAGTACAAAAATTACTTAGATTAACATAATTGAACTTCCATTTTACAAGACAATGTGTCTTAGAAATTGATGATTAAATTTCAAACAGAAATGTATATACTATGCAATGGAGCGTGGCAAGTTTTAGTTTTGAAAAAATTTTCATCTATGTCAGTAATTCTTTACCTGTGGTCTGCATACTTCTGGGGTCTGAAAGTTAATAAGGATCTGCAAATGATTTTCCAAGCTAAAATTTGAATTGTTATTTAATTATATTACGAAAATATAAAAATACCATGCAATCCCAATTAATTTTCCATCATCAACTGTTAGCATTTCTTGTTCACATAGGAATTTGATTAAATTTTCTGTGCTTGTCATTTAAGTACAAAGTTAATGGTTAAAAATCTGGCAAAATGCATATTATATGAAAAGGGTTCTCAAATTCAAAGTGTAAGAATTGATGATCTATTTAATTAATTAAAACAGACAGCTTTGGCTGTTTATTTTAATTAATTATGCTGGAAATTCAATCTACGCTGGAAATTGTTAGGATAAAAAAAACATGGAAAATAACCAGATTCTATCTGTTAAACAATATCTTCAATTCAGAACAGATCTAAATTCCTAACAGAAAAATGCAGATTGTTGTGTGAATAATGCAAATTTAGAAACAAATGTATGGAAATGATTTTAAAACATTAAAACAAATACATACAGTTAAAAAACTCTGATACACACATAGATGCAAAGAATAGTAAAATTTTAACATCCATTTATTTAGAATGTCATCTAATTATTAAATGTCTATTGGCTCTAATCTGTTTGAAGTTTTTTGTTGTGGGAACATAAATGTTTATTGAAGACAATGTTGCTAATTTATCAGCCTTAAAAGACCATATTGCTGTATCTAAGAAGCATCACAAAGGAACAATTACAGTTGACCACTTAAAGACACTGATCACCTTCAGAATGGCAACCATAGTGAGTAACATTTCCTGCATTGCTAAGGTATAGCTTAAGTACATCTACAAATAAAATGTTTGCTGCTTGCAATGCCAAAAGTGCCATGGTAGTGAGTATTGCTACTAACTCTTTTATGGAAATGTTCCCTGAATGTCCTGAAATGTCAGTATTCCAGATTTTATTGCATTTAGGGTTGCTAAATCTCTAAATAGCAATGAATAAGAGGTACTTTAATTCACCTGGCATGTGTATATTTAAAGAATATGAGTATAGTTAGCAATAACACTTGCATGGATAATTTTTAAGCACAGTAAGTGGAATATTAATATCAAAGTGCTTTAGACAAAAGAATTTACAAATATAGAGTATAAACAGATGGCCACTGTGCAATGTGCATGTACTGTACACAATAATAATAAGCTTTGTACTGTTTTAATTACTGGATGCTTGGAAAGAAATTACAAAATAAATATGAAAAAATGGTGGCTAAATTGTTTTAGATATGACACTCTATTGTTTCTATAAGCCTATTCAACTGAAAAAAATTAGTAGGCCTATTTTCAAAGAAATATAAAATATACACCACTTAAAAATATATATATATATATATATATTTGTCATTTCTTTTTCATGTTNATATATTTGTCATTTAGTATTTTTATAAGATAAAATTTAGTACCACACAGTAGTGAATTCTGGGTGTGGCAACCGATGCTATTGTTCCTGAGCTTTTATTGCTAATGTGAGCTTTACATAATTCTAAAAGAAATAATGTCTAGTATTTTTATCATAACAAAACAAAAATTAACAGAATTGAAAAGTAGTTTTCTTTAAGTAATTATTAAAGCACTAAATCTTAATAAAAAAAAAAATACAAAAATTCCCAAGATTGGTTCTTGGATCTGGGCCTGATCACACAATGCCAGGAGCTAGGAGTTTGATATTCAAGTGAAAGTGTATACTCTAATAGTAGTACTCTATCTTTATTGTCTCTTGGAAATTTTGCTAAGCTCTTTGGTCTTCCTCATTTGGAAAGTTAACTTTTACTGAACAGTTAAGATTTGATTGCAAACTTAGAAATGGTAACTACAACTAGACAATACTTGAACAGATAAAGTTTAATTTAAAGTTAATAAAAATTGCTTTATTTTTTCAGGAAAATTCTTTCATTTAAAATAAAAAGACAATTCTAGAGTACTAAAAACAAAAATGTAAAAAAAACAAAAAATTAATAAACTAGGAAAAAGTATTGCATGCTATTAAAATAAATTTAATTTTAAAATAGTTAACATACATCTATAGTTAACATAATAGTATTTATACATATATATTATTTGAATGTGCATATAAATAACAATATATTTTTCACCTTGGTTAATTAACACTGTTTGTTAATTTCTCAATGAATTAATATCTTTCCACAGGTAAATTTCACTCTCAACTATAAGAATATACAATCATTTACTTTTATATTCCATGTTGCTTGATATGATTAATGAAATATACTGCTAAAGGATAACAGAGATAAGAAGTTCTATCTCTCTGGTTTTTTTTATAATGGGATTCATTAGTACATGTGAAATATATAAAAGTAGGCTTTTTGTGTGGGCACTAATTCTTGTGGAAAGTATATTTTTGAAATAATAATAGTAAATGTTTTTAACACAGCAAAAATTTATTTCATAAATATATATCTATCCTTAATTAATTGAAAATACTTTGAAAAATTCATACTTCTTTGAAATAAATTTTAAGTGTAATTTAGAAAAGTAGAAATTTTATATAATTTTCTCCTTGCTTTATAAATACAATTTGTGCTGTCAGTTTTTTAAATATTGCATTGACTTTTGTTTTTAATTTTTCAAGTTCTTAATATATTAATTATATAAGTAAATATTAAATAACTGTACTACAAATTATTTAAAATGCAATTTCATATTGCATATACTGACATTTCTAGTTGAAATGCATAAAAAAATTTGACAAAAATTGATACTGATAGATCTACAAGATACATATTATATATATATAAATCACAATGCTGGGCTGCAGTTTCAAATCATATTTTTAATTTATTTAACTTAAAATATATGCTCTCCACCTCAAATTAGCAGTGGCTTGCCCCTGTACATCATAATTTTCCTTTAGCAATTGAAGTGTGTGGGTCATCTATCTAATTCCTTTCATAGAAAAATTTTTGAATTAAAATAACGTGGTTTCGGTTTGCATCAGAAGTTTGCATATAGTTAGTCAGGACGTCCTGTCCCTAAGGCTTCTATACCTCCTCTTGTCTTTCATCTATCTAACTCCTCAAGATTAAGGAAAGCTAGAGAGAGGGACAGTGGAAATTTATAAGTCTACAATTTTTTCAAATTGCAACTCAATAATTATTATAATACTAAACACAATGATGATTTTTCAGTAAAAATGTATCATTGATATATTAAATATTTTATCTTGTAGTTAGCCAGCAAAAAGCTGTGTGTTTATTTCTATTATTTAGCATAAAAATATGAATTCTATCATATATAATATGTAACAAGTTAATAATTTTTTAAATTTTTTCTAGTCAGCTTCACTAACTCATTACCATTAGTTCATTCTTAATTACTATAAACACTTCCTATGAAACTAGCAATGCATCATATAATAATAAATATGGATTGAGTCAGGCAATGTTCATAAAATTGCTATAGCATTTACAAGCATAAATTCAATATTAAATGTGACAATTTTTTAATTCTTTATTGTTTGCTTTCAGCATGAAAATTATAAATTATTTATTGTTATAAAGCCTGTATTCTAAACTAATTTGCAACTTCATTTACTTCATTTTTGATGCATAAAATGAAATGTAATCCATAATGACAGTAGAATAAGTGCTGTCATTATGGATTCCCTACCAATAAAGTATGTTGGAAATTATGACTTGCAAATATTGTGCTGAGAACATGAACTAAATTAATTAATTTGAGTTAATTTGTTGCGAATAGTTTTGAATTTCGAAATATTTTGGACCTCCCAACTAGAAAGTCCGGTCGTTTTCAATTACATTATAACAATAAAAGCTTAAAAGGAGTCTTTTTAGTTGAATTATGATAAAAATTCCGTTTAAAAAATATTTAAAAAAATAATAATAAATAAATAGGAACGAGCTCAAAGTTAAAATTATGTATGGCGCCATCTGTTACCAGATGTTATTAATTAAATATAATACTGTATATTATTAATTATTACGAAAGGCTTAATTTGAGGATAGAGGATAGACATTTACACTCTTTTATAAAACTCACCTTACCCTCAAAATTAAGCTTTTTGCCATTTTATAGTAATTAAAAATATAAAAATGTTTTTATAACAAAATCTGATAACAGATGGCGCCACATATTTTCATTTTTGTTTAATTAATAATAAGGTTTTTTTTTCCTAATAAGAACTCATAACAGCCGGGAAAGTTACGCAACTCTCGTTGCTAGAGTTTTTAGATAGGAAAATTCAATGTCAATATCTAAAGCGGTTTCTCTCTTTTTATTGGCCAAATTTTGTGTATTCTCTATGTGGCTAACAATTGCTGCACAAGTTGGAGGATGGAAAATAAGTTTTTATATAGATTCTATTTCGTTTAATATCTCAGGATGGAAGCAAGATTAAGAAAGAAAAATCTGGCATGATAACTTGTTTATAACGGGTATCGATGGTATTAAATTTTTCCAGAGGGTGGGGAGATAGAGCGAGATCACGAGTCGTAACTCCAATGGAGTCGGACTTAATTAAAAGTTTACTCGTTATTGGCATTTACAATTTACAAATGTTTACGTAAATTTAATAGAAAGTCCTCCCACGGAGGCACTTCTAGACAGATAGTTTTTTAAAACTTTTTTTGTCCTGTGGACACTAACAAGGGAAATCTTTAAATTCATATACGAAGTAAATGACGTTTCAATGGTTATTGAATGTAGACTATTTGTTTCTGAGAAAAACAAATTTTACTTTTGTGTTCGGCCTCTACAAGTGCTTCAAAATTCGCGGCATATCTACTTGGCGAAGTGCACGTATTTTTTTACTGTTTGTTTCTGTTAGCTAGTTCGAACCTACATTACAGATGAACCTATGATTTTTTCTTTTTTATATTCATTTACTTGTTTTTGTGTATATTGGTATGTTTATAACTAATTATAGAGATTTTTTATAGGTTGGGTGGGTATGAGATAATCCTTACTATGCCTTAGGTTAAGAGGGTGTGGGGGTGTTTACAAAAACGTACTATTAGGATCTTAGTCCTCGGGTAAGAGAATGGCTCATTTTTGTTTCCGAAGAGTTGCATAGAAAAACGTACTGTTTACATCCCTGCTTTGTGTTACACGTGTAATTAATAAAATAATGTAACGTTCGATGCCCCAACTGTGTATTATTTCTTAGTACAATTAAGGGCCATACTTTACGTAATTTTGAGAATGGGTTTGTGTGAAGCGTTACGAAGGGTGAAACGGTAGTTGAAAACTAAAAAAGTTATGTAATTCATGGAATTTTCCATATAATGATTCCTAAAGATCCTTACAATTATTTAATTGTATATTTTTTAATATTGTACAGTACCTATACTGTATATAATAGCAGCCCCTGCTAATAGCCTAATAAAAAAAATCTTGCAACATTTGGTGGTGCCATCTGTTAAAAATATATTTTATTTTAAAAACTTTTTATAACTATTATATAATGGAAGAAAACTTAAATTTTGAAGGGAAACATGCGTTTTTATTAAAAACAACAATTGTAAATGCTAATAACGAGTAAAATCGTCATTAAGTACGGCTGTACTCGTGATATGACACACGATCCACTATATCTCTCCACCCCGTTGTCCTTTAACCACCAAAATTTAACAGCGTCAATTTCTCTAATAAACCCTGCAAAATTTCAGAAATTTTCGATAAAAAGCACAGGAGTAATTAAGCTTGAAAGAGGGTGAAGAAAAGCACGATTTTCTTCAGAAGAAAAACCCGAACTTTTTTGCATTTCTCCACGTTTCAAGATCCCCCAGTCCGAAACTGTGAAAATCTTGGTGTCATCTTTTGACCGATCGCCAAACTTTCTCCATTATGTATAACAGCCGGGAAAATAAAAACGGTGACATAATTTGATTATAATGATTGCATTATTAATTATATTATCTACTGATATAGAAATTAAATTTCAAGAAAAACAATGAAAATATGTATAACAACAACTACTACAAAACTAATGCATAAGTTACACGGAACAATACAGATGTTTCATATATTAAAATATCTTAGTTATAGCTAGTTGTAAAAGTGAAGGCCTATACACTAAGTTTCTTCAATTAATCATTTAAAGGAAACGTTTTCTGCTCTAAATACGCTTTATGAAAAACATTAATTAAAATCGATACGACACTGTCTATAGATCGATTCAAGTACTGTACATCTATTATCGATCTATAGGTGACCTTGAACGACCACGAACTACATATTAATCCAAAAAGTTTAATCGCCATATTTTACTTGGAATTGTTTTTCAAATTCGCACTTTGAATAAAGTTGTAATCTTCTTAAACTTATATCAATTCGTTTTTTGCAATTTCGTATTAAGACTATCTACGCGAACATTTAACATACAAATACGCATATCATTACATTACTTTAAAAGTAAAAGTGACACAATACAGTTTTTTTTAATGCTATTTTTCCACTTTTTATAGCATTCTAGAACACGACTACACAAATACAGAGAGAATATTTATATATAAAATGCTATAGAAAGAGAAAAAATAGCATAAAGAAACTGTATGGTGCAACTTTTACTTTTAAAGTAATGTAATTTACACATATTTGTATGTTAACAAGTAAGTTCGAAACGTAACTGCAGTATTCGATTTCATTTCCTTTAATAATTGACAGATGATATTTTGTCACAGAAGAAAATCGAAACATGGTAAAGAGAGAAGAGACAGGGGGACGTCGACCGGTTGCCAAGCGACCATTCCACCAATGATACGTGCGCTTAACTTGACTATGGAAAATTCCTATTCTAGAAACTTCACCGTGGAAAACTACCTCCGCGTATATAAGGAACGAGCGGATATAAAAATAATAATATCCGCTTATTTTACCCAAATCATCTACAGTAACACGAAGTATTGTTGTGACTCGTAACTTCTCGCAAATTCGATCCTCTTTTCCAGTACACCATACCGTTTTACAGAAGCATTATCACAGATTACAATTTGCATATTATATTTACTTTTTATAGACAATTTTCCAGATGTCATTCTTTAAAGTAGAGAGTTCCAATGCCCGTTATGCGGAAGACTACATTGAAGCCGATTATGATTACCAAACAACAGAAGTTAAGATGGATAATGGAGAATATAAAGTAAGAAGCTTTGTTTTCTTTATTAATTTGATGACACTTCTAGAATCAAACACTATTTTGTTTTTTAAAGATTTTTCCACACATTACCCAAATTACGTTTCGTACCCAGAGAAAAGTGCCTAGATTAGGTCTGATGATGGTGGGATTAGGCGGTAATAACGGCACTACGGTGGCAGCCGCAATTTTGGCGAATAAGATGAAACTCTCTTGGCACACTAAAGTAGGAGTAGTGGTAAGTCACACACTTCCTCATTCCGTTCCGTTCGTTTCTAAGATAAGGTTTCTCAACTCTGATCTTTACAGAAAGCCAACTATTTCGGTTCCTTAACCCAGGCATCGACAGTGTGCTTGGGATCGTCGCCAGACGGCGATGTTTACGTTCCTATGAAGGACCTGCTTCCCATGGTCGACCCCAACGACATCGTCGTCGACGGATGGGACATTTCGTCCATGAATTTGGCCGACGCCACGGAGCGCGCCAGAGTTCTGGACTACAACCTTCAGGTTCAGCTGAAAGAGCACTTGAAGAAGATGGTCCCACGCCCGGCCATCTATCATAAAGACTTCATCGCCGCCAATCAGGAGAGCAGGGCCGACAACGTGCTGACAGGCAGCAAGTGGGAACAGGTGTGTGCCGTCAGGCGCGACATTCGAGACTTCAAAGAGAAGTGTGGTCTGGACAAGGTGATAGTGTTGTGGACGGCCAACACTGAGCGATTCTGTGACGTCCGCCCGGGTCTGAACGACACCGCCGACAATTTGCTGGCCTCTATCAAGAACGAGGCATCGGAAATATCGCCCTCCACCCTCTATGCCGTGGCCAGCATATTAGAAGGGGTAAGTGTTCCGTCGATTACTCATTTCCGTTTCCGTAGCTTCCGACGAATAACCGACGATTTTGCGTATTTGTAGTGTGCCTACATCAATGGATCTCCTCAGAACACTTTTGTTCCCGGGTGCGTGGAGTTGGCCGAGAAGCATTCGGTGTTTATCGGCGGCAACGACTTCAAATCTGGCCAGACCAAGTTCAAATCCGTCATCGTCGACTTCTTGGTCAGCGCGGGCATCAAGCCCGTCTCCATCGTCAGTTACAATCATCTGGGCAATAACGACGGCAAGAATCTGTCAGCCCCCCAACAGTTCCGTTCTAAGGAAGTGTCCAAGAGCAACGTGGTCGACGACATGATCGAGTCCAACAGGATCCTTTACGAACCCGGAGAGAAACCCGACCACTGTGTAAGTCTTCTGTTTCGTATCTATATAAATTTCGACTCGTCGCCAAAGTTAGATAAGCAGAGTTTTAAAATACTTTAAAATATTTACAGGTGGTGATCAAATACGTGCCGTATGTGGGCGATAGCAAGAGGGCCCTGGACGAGTACACGTCAGAAATCATGATGGGAGGTCACAACACCATCGTGGTGCACAACACTTGCGAAGATTCGTTGCTGGCTAGTCCAATCATCCTAGATCTGGTCATTCTGACCGAAATATGCCAAAGAATAAGCTTCAGGGTAGGAGACGATCAGAAATTCGAGAGTTTCAATAGCGTATTGTCTATCCTTAGTTACCTGTGTAAGGCTCCCATGGTTCCTAAAGGCGCACAGATCGTCAATGCTCTATTTAAGCAGCGGGCCTGCATAGAGAACATTTTCAGAGCCTGCATCGGACTTCCTCCTCTGAATCACATGGAGCTGGAGCATAAAGTTTGCCATCCCGAAAAATGGCAAGCAAATGAAATGAATTCTAATCCTCCGTATCCCAAATTGTCAGAAGTTAATCATCTGAATGAATTGATTCGAACTAGTAAGGTTATTAACGGCTACTCTTAGATTCAGTATTAATTATTTGTATAAAATTCATTTACTATCCATTCACAGAATGTAGATGTTGAAATACACAATTTTATACCGAAAGCGAAATCATATTTTTAGAGAATTTCCTCTGAAAGTTTTCTATTGTTTTAAAATTTATTATATTACATGCAAGTTTGTAAAGTATCTGATAGACGATGCTTTTATATATAAATTATATTCTATTGAATAAAAATGTTCACGTATTTTCTTCTGTTTTAAACGGATTTTCACGTATGCAAAACATAATTTCGGAATTATAATAAACTAATTAATTTAGAAATTGTAGGGTTGTAAATAAATTAGAATTATTTTGAGATATTCACTCATAAAATTATCATCAAAAAAGAATAATTAACATATAAATGCAGGTGGCAGCACATTTATTCATTATTATTTAACAAATAGACTGGCAGATGGCGGTAGTATCAGAAAATTATTTAAAATGCCGCCAATAGATGGCAGTAGTTAAAAACGATTTGAAAACAATTGAAAAAGCATGATTAATAGATAGCACTCGAATAAATCAAATAACTTCTGTTTAAATTCAAGGAAAAAACTATTTTTACACTGAAATACATAAAAATAAGAGAGAAAAATAATTTGATTACAGTTTAGTTCAATACATGCAGACATTTTTCCTTTTTTTTCTTCCTTAATGAGAGTATGAAAGTAAGCGACTCCAGTTGTAAACAAGTGGCGACCTTCTAGGTCAAAATACAAAAATTAGAACAACAATTGCAATAAATTTGTATTCTAGTGTAATACTTTTTAAAAATTCGATACTTTATTGTTGTCTGGCGAACTAAATGCGTGTTTTGCATATTAAAAAAATTAAAATATAAATAATAAGAAGGGGAAAAAAACAGCGCATTTTAACTATATTGCGAATGGTTATTCGCGTAAGTCACTAACTCGTCGACAACGACTCATATACGTCAGATACAATCTGTAAGTTTAATAACGTTATTTGTTGATTTGTTAATTAATTGTTAATCGCTTTAAATTACTTTTTATTGTACT